ATGATAAGGGCGCCCAATCCAACCAACCACAATTTCAGCTTAGCGAGGGATAACCTTGGAGTCAAAAAATGCCAGTGTTGGATTTGTCAATAATAAACTCCCGACTCAAATGTATCTCGTTCCTCCACATATGCTGGAGATGTAGTTCTACAGACATTTCACGCTGCGTAGAATCAGTCGGTTCTTTGGTACAGCCATGGTAAAAGTCGTTCATCAAAGCGGTTCGTCTTCTGTTATGGCGTTTTTAGTTCGTTCCTTCAATACCATCATTTCGGGTGTTAGCGGTTCAATTGCTGGTAGATCGAAAAAAATTCTTCATTCCGGTTTGTTTGAATTTAAAAATACTTTGGGATCAAAATCCATTACTGTAGATTCTGGCGTTGTTTATTGCGGCACTTATCATATTATACATTTGTTGAAATCTGCTTACTATACTATTATTGCAACATTGAAATGTCGATTTTAACTAATTTGCGTAGGTTAAAATATCGATGCCGTCTGGAGGGCGAATACATTTGGAAAAGTAGAGGTTCTGGTTGAGTCCTCGACTAATATGTGTGGATATGACTGACAATACTGTTTAAGTGGTGTGTTGTTTGCGGAAACCGTGTTGCTGGTTAGCAACTGAATAAATTACTCTGATTACTCTGAAGAAGAGTAAAGCTATTCAGAGGTTTCTTTTATAGCATTTTCGAAAAAAAAAAATATTTTTTAGAATTTTGTAAACTTGATACCTCAGATGTTATTCATTTATACCTTTTTAAGAGTTTTTAATTGTAATAGTTTTGACACATTTAAATATAAATTTATTAAAAATATAATAAAATCGATTAATTAAATGTCTGTATCTGTATGACTATTACAAAAGCATATAGAGGCTCAGTTTACGAAGAAATAAGGAAAATTAGGTTTATATAATTATGAACAGTTTTATCATGAAAATACATAAAGTTGAATGGTGAATACCTTAGGTGCGTATATCAGCGAAATTCTGAATATTTAAAAATGCTGTCTTGGGAATATTTCACATTATATTTTGATGAAGATGTAACAAAATCGAATCATAACTTGAAAGGTATATTGGTTAGTGCTCGCTTCGGACGTCAAAGTAATCAGTGTTTCAGGATCTGGGAATGGGAGCCACCTAATGGAAGGTTTATTAAAATTACCCAGCATCCAAATACGATCAGAATCATTATTGCTAATTAATGTTGATTATAAATGTCAAGTGATAAGGGGGAAGTTACAAACAATATGAATTTTCCAAATTCAATGGGAACGTCAATAAACTCTATATCAAGTAAACCATTTAGATCAAATAAATTAGTATCTATTTGGCAAATAATTTTTTATTTTGTATAGCCCCCATATAACGGTTCCCACCGATATTCGGTATTTTGATAATCCTAGTCCCATTTATTGACGAAATTGTTTCAAATTAGATGACAATCCTTGAAGTATAAAATTGTCTGTAGAGGTTTCCGCTTTGGTATGGCCCCCATATAACGGCCTCACCACTTAATGTTTTTTTTTTTGCAAAGTTTAACAGCATTATCCGAACGGTCTTACTTTATGTATTGTAGACACAAACCATTTACTAAAAATTCATTTTGTCTAGTCTTTACCGTTTTAGGTATTTGCTTCCTAGTGCGTGCAACAACAAGTTTTAACAGTAACAATGCGATATGCCTACCATATCGAAGGGAGAAAACTCGTTTTCCTCAAGGAATCATCAACTTTTGAAAATTGTTTTACTCGAAAGTGTTCCTTTTTCTAGTAACGAAGCTCGTTTAACGCGAAGCTCGAACGAAAAAATTTTTTTGGCGTGAAATTTTCTCAATTTGACATACTATACTGAAGTGTAAATTTTTATTGTTTTGAATGCGGAATGAATAATATCAAAAATGAAATGGGTGCGCAATACGATGTTAAATAGCGATCTTTCATGTCTAAAATTGGCATCTAACTTTCAATTCCAAGGCTTACATCTTGCTTCAACTAATGGATTCGAAAGCATTTAAACAAACAAAAAAGACCGACTGCGAATCTCTTCCTTAACTTTCAAGATACTTTAAATCAGTCATGGGTCATAACCCCCGGATAAGGGTACAACCCGATTTCAAGTATATTTTACATTTTAACTATATTTTTCATACTAATTTCGACAAAAGTTGGTAATTTGAGCAGAAACCATTATTACAAAAACTGATTACGTTTTTGTGTAACCATCATATGATTTGAGCTATTTTTGGGGTCTTGGCCACTTTTTTAATTTTTTGGCATTTATTTAGCATCTTTGTTTCTAAGGGGGTAAAAAACCCCTTCGCATACAATTTTAAATTTTCGGAGTAGGGTCCATCTTGTGGTTTGACCACATTCATTAATTGTTTTGGCTAAAAAATTGTATTTAGACTATTCTGGTTAGACAACCATCTTACAGGTAATTGTCCGCATAAGTATTTAAGTATAGTCCACACATTATGTGTACCCCCAAGTCCACTTTCTTAAACAATGTGTGCTATCATTGATTATCTTTCTGCCCTCAAATATAAGGTGGACAAAACTAAATGCCACGCAGCACGGTATTCTAGATGTTAGAAATACTGTTAACTATAAATAAATACATACAAATTAAAAACAATTTAAAAAGTAGTAAGTTCGGCCTGGCCGAACTTTGAATACCCTCCACCAGTTGTAACGAATTTGGAAATTTAAAAAAAATAAAATCCTTAAAAAAATCTGTTAAATTTTTAAAAATACCGAATATAGCCGTTATATAGGCGTCTATACGACGTGGACGTACGTAGACATTGTTTGTCATAATCCATTATCATATTCAAATTCGAAACTTGAAATAAACGGCGAATACTGTAGTAAAATCAACAAAATATCGTATAGAGGGAGGTACCGTTATATCGTAGCTGTGCGAAGACCTGGATCAGCATAGACAATTTTCTGTCACAGGCTATAGCATCCATTACGAACTTCAAATACGACATCTCAAAAAATTTCGGTGGGTATTGTACCTAAACTCGTCAAAATACCGAATATAGAGAGTTACTGATGTATGGGGCCTATACGAAGACCTGGACCTGCATAGGCAATTTTCTGTCACGGACTGTAGTTCCCATTAAGAACTCTAAATACATAATTTAAAACAATTCTAGTGAATAATGACACTAAAATCATCAAAATACCAATTTTTGGGAGGTACCGTTTTATGGGTGCTATACGAAGACGTGGACCTGCACAGACAATTTTCTGTCATAGGCTGTAGTATAAGTTACGAATCTCAAATATCAAATTTGAAACAATTCCGATGAATAATGTCCCTAAAATCATCAAAATACCGAACATCGGGAAGTACCGTTATATGGGGGCTTTACGAAGACGTGGACTTGCATAGACAATTTTCTGTTTTAGGCTGTGGTATTTATTTCGAACTTCAAATACCAAATTTGATATAATACCGGTGAATAATGTCGCTAAAATCATCAAAATACCGAATATCGGGAGGTACCGTTATATCGACACAGAATTTTACGCTGATTAAGAATATATATACTTTGTTGGGTCTGACATGAGTATTTCGAGGAGTTACAAACGGAATGACAAAGTTAATAGTATGGTGGTGGGTATAATTACAGCTCATTTGAATGTAACATGTTCCTAAGCTCTTTGCAAGACCAAAAATTGAGCTGAGTTGTCACATGGGGCTATTACAGATGTTCTATATCATATAGGTTTTTAACACTCAAATTAAAGCCTATGGGTAAAAAATAAGATCAGGCTATTCAAAATATCTAAAATTAACAGTACGTGAACATCTATTATAATTTTTGCCATGAATATTTCTATTTAGAAATTACTATGCAGTCATTAATTATAATAAAAATTGTGCCGCTTGTACAAGATTTATTATGCATTAAAAAATATGCATTAATGACAAAGTACGGACCGGCAACGTATTATATAAACGGAACAGCTAAAATTATATAAACTAATAGTTTAACAATTATATACATAGACGATTTTTAAAATGCTGCCCATGCTGCCCAGACGAGTCGATAAACTCTGCTTTTTTTGGCACAGAGACATTGTCTAGAAAAGCGACATTGGCACCCAACAACAACCCCCAGTTTGATTCATGTGAGTCATTGCCAAAGGTTTGTTGGTGGCATGTTCGAGTCGACCATCTGTGTTCTTCACAAAGCAGTATGTCACGATGAGAGCGAATCATGTCGTCGACATACTTGGGTTACTATTTGTTCAAAAGTAACTTACCACATATATAATAACCAGAATTAGTGATTATTCGATTATTGAGTCAGAGTTAATTTGAAGGAGTAGTTAGTGCAATTATACGTTTTGGTAGAATAAGTAGCACTAAACCATTTGCAAACAAGTTGGTTATAACAATCTTCGCTGGATTTGCGTTTCGAATTGGCTGATTTGCAAAAAGATTATTATAATGTTACGGAAACAATTTATTTGAAAAATACCAAAATCTTTTGCATGGAAGAATTCTTCATAAGATTTGTGTATATTTGATGGCAAATTTATACTGAGGCAAAAATTCCACAAAATGTTTGGTATATTAAAATCAGCCGGTATTCAAATTAGATCCCCGGGCTAATCTTTTTGCAAAACGACTTTTAATGCATGGCTATGCTTACATTAATTGCTTGCACAGATAAAGAAGGAATATAAGAGTACATTATGAACATTTTTTTTCAGTTTGTTTTGGACTTCGACAGATATTGTATTTATTTGAATTATTCTTTATTTTATTGAAGAATTTCTGAGTTTAACCAGGTCTGACTTGTACGCACAATCATTCTCGAAGGGAATACGCGAAATGGACCAAACTTTACACACTGCATTATTTTACAGTTATCCCAAGCCACAAATCAACACAAAAAAACCTATTTTATTGTAGCTTCTTAACAAATAAGCATTTACCAAAATCTACTACTACTCTACAATTCTGTTTATTTCAGGCACTTGGAAATATTTACTTTATTCACAAACACATTGAAAATGTTAGACTTTGGAATTTTTTTACGCGTTCCTGGGAAACAGCTGAAGGGAAAACCATTTACTCAGGCAACATAGAAACTGTTTCAAACAAAGAAAAGTCAAAATTTCCAAAACATTTTTTTCCCGAGGTTTGTACTTTTTATATACGTTAAAATATTTGAAAATAACAACTTTATTTTCAGTGCAAATGGTCTAGAAAAGGTTACATGCGAACTCGTTGGAATATTAATAATACTGTCTTTGATCTAGTCAACATACATCTTTTTCACGACGCTTCCAATTTAGCTGCCTGCGAAGAATTTCCGTCCGTATACTGCAGAACAAGGAGGAGAGCATTAGTTCACACAATTGAAAGGTTAGTTGGATCTTTTAAGACATGTTGAATGTAAAAAACATAAACAATTTTTCCATTTTCCTACTAGATTTCAACAAGACGAATCCAATGGATTAGTTCCATTCTTTGTATTTGGCGATTTTAATTTTAGATGTGATATTTCTGGGGTTATTAAGGTAATAATTACAATATTTTATTTCTGGATTAAAATCAAAAGAAATATTAAAAGATAATAATGATTTTTGAAGAAAGCTACCCTTCAATGACTTATTACGATGACTAAGGGCATTATCTACATTTATATGCTCAATAATCCCAAACTTACAATGATTCACCATACAAAATTAAATCAATTCAAAACTTGAATTTGTGTTGTACCCAACGTTAAATCAGAATTGTATGCCATACAACACTGTTTTTTCCTAAGTATTGAACTATGGTAGTCTGTGCCAAAATTGGTAACTGTGTTCGCGCAACTTTTATTTATAAAAACAAACCCAAGCCTTTGAGAGAATAGAATAGAGAAATTATTTAAAAAATCGAAGTGAACTGATGAGGATTAGTGTCTATATCTACAACCATGGTGTTCATTGCCTTACATAACCATCTTTATGAATGCTGTAAAGAATGAAAAGTATGCCATTATTTAATTAAAAATTGTAAACAATATATGATATGATGCGCATATTTCGCAGAAAACAAAAACAAAGAATATTTATTGAAACACAATGCAATTAGAGAAAGTTTCCCTGTTATAGATTTGTTTTTATTTACTAAATGTTCTTACATTCATTAAAATTAATATTTTAAATGCCTAAGGCTCTTTTGATATTCGTTTCTAATTCAGTCATAAATTTTTAGACTTAAATGTGCATTATACTAAAAATTAAAAGATCTTGCTTATTAATAATATTTTAATAATTACTAATATTTTATTTTTTTATAAAAATAATAGTCCGGAAATCCGAAATTCGTACTTTTAGAGGGGATGCTATCTAAAGTTCCGATATATAGGTTCAAACTACCTACAATGTATACTTCTATACAACTAATGTTTGTAAGTGTAAGGCGTAAGTTAAAAAGTCGTACACAAACTAATCTTTAGAGGACGTTTTGACAAGTTACAATAGAAAATAATCTGGATGTGTAATGTTCATTACATTTTTTTGGAATGGAAGGATTAAAAGAAATTCTACCACACTACCAACCATAGTAAAATAAAGAAGGTAAATTCATTTTAAATAAGCATTCTATGGAGGGTATATTAACTTTGTCATTCCGTTTGTAACTACTCGAAATATTTATAACAAATTTCGTATTTGAAGTTAATAATGGGTACTACAGCCTATAACAAGCATTTGTGTATGCAGGTTCACGTCTTCGTACAGCCCCCATATAACGTTACCTCCCGATATTCGGTATTTTGATGATTTCAGCTACATTATTCACCGGAATTGTTTCAAATTTAGTATTGGGAGATCTTAAGGTTAATAAAACCTATGGAAAAATCGTATGGAGGTCCACGTCTTCGTATAGCCCCTATATAACGGTACCTCTCAATACTCGGTATTTCTAAGATTTGTGCGACGTTATTCACCGGAATTGTAACAAATTTCGCATTTAAAACTTGTAATGGGTACTACAGCCTATGACAAACAAATTCGTAAGCTGGTTCACGTGTTCGTATAGTCTCCATATAACAGTTTTCATTTATGTGGTAGTTTCCGGAAGTTTTTTTTAAATTTTTCAAGTTCCTTCCTAACGGTGGAGGGTATTAAAAGTTCGGCCCGGTCAAACAGCTGCTTTTTTACTTGTTTGTAATTTACCTTGTCAAATGTTATTACATAGAAAAAAGGTTTCTACCTCTGATTTGTGTATATGCAATGGATTTGTAAATAAACATTTTGACAATGAGATGTTGTTAAATGAATAACAGTGGAAAAAATGTAAACATATGATTACATGACTTTACCTTCTTGATTACATCATGCTACCAACATTGACTTAGGAAGGTTGTAATTTCGTAATTATCTTTAGTAACCCTGTTGTTTAAATAATGAATCTACCCAGTTAAATTATTTTTAAGTGGTTCAAAATGTAATTTTACTTGATCTTTTGCAAAAATTAAAAACCAAAACCCAAAAAAAAAAAAACAATTCTGAAAGTACGCTTGTAAATATATTTTCGATGTATTAATTGAAAAAAAATGTTAATGTAGATTGACAAATAGCCGCATTGCTTTAATTTAAGTATCAAAAATAAGGTGTCATCTGTTTATAACAGTTAGGCATAGAATGTAAAAGAGTGAAAAACTTTGATGATTGATGTATAGGTATATCTTTATCCTTATTTAGATAAAAGACTCATATAACATTATCTCCCACTGGTCTTATTTGGCATTTGATGATTTCAGTATAATATATAAATCTAGACCTTTAATACTGGTTCCATCCATAGTACAATGAATTCAAGGTAGGGCAGAACTACCATATGATTTAATTTTTTTTTATTTTTCTGGCTTAATATGTCAACTTCATTTGCTTATGTGTGTGTGTCTTCTTTTCAATAATAAAAAATTGTTCAGAAAATATTCAAATTCGGGTGTTTTCAAAATACTTATTGCAACGAATGCATCGACAAAATCTACAGTTTTTGTCGCGAAATAAACCATAAGAGATATATAGAACATGATATTGAAAAGAAATTTTGACCATTCATTCAGTTTTCGCGGTTTTAAATTATTCATTGAAAATCAATGCAACAAGTTGTTTACTTTTTTATTGTTTTGATAGTAATTCTGACATTACAAGCCAAACAGGTAGACCTCTATACTTGCAATTTTTTCAAAGTTGACCTACCTTCTCTTCATTGTACCATGGTTCCATCCATATAACCTACCGATTTGACACATTTTGAATGATTCTAAAGCATTTTCGAGGTTATAAATCCTTTGTCAAAAAATTGCAAAAAAGTCAAATTATAATTTATTTTCTTTTTACCAGTACCTCTTAATATTCGTTATATCATCGTATTTAAATAGATATTCCAACTCAATTATTAGTATTATTTTGAATTCGTAACTTTTAAAGTGCCTCGTTGAAAGTTAATGTGAAATTTTAATTTCACAGATGTTTTTACATCTTAGCGACAATTTGTTATTGCGTTTTTAACAGGATTCCCTTCGATAATTAATTTGGCCGAAATCCACATGAAACTGATGAATATGCGTCGTGCTTTTGGAAAGATACCAGAATCGTTTTATTATAAAGTTTTGCCCGTAGCTAGAAACGGAAATCTAGATGATCGATGATGATCGCGTATTGGACATTCCGCGGAAAACTGTGAAAGCAGAACGAAGCAAAACTCCAACATGTTAAGTGAAGTCAACGAAGGACTGTGTTTTAAAGAGGTGGTTATCGGTGAAATAAATGTAAAAGCCTTTGTAGATAGTGGAAGTGCTCGAAGCCTAATAAGAAAATCAATCGTTAAAGACATGGACGGAAAAGAAAATTGTTTTAATCGATTGATTGGATTCGAAAGTGGTGAAATTGAGAAATTGATGATGTTACTATTGTACATACTATTCTGATTATTGAAGACGACAAACTGGCTTATGATATGTTGCTCGGAAAAGATATATTGTGTTTGGGAGATACACAACTAATAATGGATAGTGAAGATTGTCATATCCAAACGAAAACAATTAACCATATTAATGAGACTCTACTAACGAAAACAGTTAATGATTTGGGCAATGTGTTAAAAGAATATGCAGGACGCTTCGGTGACAAAACGAAATATATAGGAAAATGTAATATTGTTAAATGTGCGTAGAAGCCGAATCTCGTTACCACAGCTATAATCCTGAAGAGCTAGCTGTTGTTGAGTCACTGGATAGATTTCGAAAGTATTTGTTGGGAAAACTATTCAAAGTCGTTACCGATTGTGCAGAAATGTCAACGATTAAAGCGAAGACACAAATTATTCCACGAATAGCCAGATGGTGGATGAACCTAATGGAATACGATTTGAGTGCACATATAGAGCTGGAATTCGAATGGCTCACGTCGATGCCATTAGTAGAGCACCAGTGGAGGAAAATGTTCCTTAAATTTCAATCCATACCACAGATTAGTTTCTGACGATGCAGTTGCAAGATAATTTCACATCCTTACTGACCCACCAACGTGCTTCACTGTTGGCTTCATATTTTTGGCAAGGAGCGCTTAATTTGCCTTTCTCCATACATAAAAAGGTCTGCCATCTCGACTAAATAGTTTGAATTTACAGCAAATAGTACAACAAAATAGTACAACAAAATAAAAACCTCTTCAAGATCTACTAAACATTTTTTTATGACTTCAAGATAAAGAAAGTTAATTTTTGTCATTTTTTTCGTTCGTTCCCACCCCTCTCACTGCCACCCCTTCCGACCAAGGGGGCGACCTCCCTATATGTAGGGAGCGCGTACACACCATAGACCGGGAATGGTGGGTTAGTTGTGAGTTAGTGGTGACAATTTTCTGTCATAGGCTGTAGTATCCATTACGAACTTCAAATACGACATCTCAAACAACTTCGGTGAGTATTGTACCTAAAATCGTGAAAATACCGAATATAGGGAGGTACTGATATATAGGGCCTATACGAAGACCTGGATCTGCATACACAATTTTCTGTCACAGGCTGTAGTTCCCATTACGAACAATACGTCATTTGAAACTACTCCGCTGAATAGTGACGCTAAAATCATCAAAATACCGAATATTAGGAGGTACCGTTATATGGGAGCTATATCAAGACGTGGACCTGCACCGATAATTTTCTGTCGCAGGCTCTATTACGAACTTCAAATACAAAATTGGAAACAATTCCGGTGAATATTGTAGCTAAAATTATCAAAATTTATAGGGAGTTACCGTTATATGGCTATATGAAAATGTAGACCTACATGGCCCATTTACGAACTTTCTGTAAAATAAACATGTGTGCAAAATTTTAGCCTTCTATCTCAGACAGACTGACGGGCATCGCTAAATCGACTTACTATACTTTGTTGGGTCTGACATGAGTATTTCGAGGAGTTACATACGGAAAGACGAATAGTGTGTTGGAGGGTATAAAAATAGGTAAGTTAAGATATACAATCACATAGAATAGATCTTTTAATAGAGTT